ATCTATTAATCTGAATAAAACCTTTCACAAGAGATTTTTTCCCCCAATTCAAGCATTTTAATAGACGCCCCATTTAACTGCATCAGTGGGAAAAAAAAGGCACTCACATTTACAGTGTCGAGGCTCAACATCAGCAATTGTAATTCACACGAGCATTGAGGTTACAGATTGATAGTGTTTATGTGTAAAGCTTTTCATACACCACCACTGCATTACTGTACTGTGTAAACCAGATATCTAGGAAAACCCACATTTCATTCATGCTTTCTTACAATCCAATTTTCAAAAATAAATAAATCATTCATTACTGGTATTTTAACTATCCGTCCATCCATTTTCTTCCACTTATCCAATTCAGGGCTGCTGGAGCTTATGGAGCTTAGGGTTGAGAGGTGGCGATACACTCTGGGCACATCGCCAATCTTTCACAGGGCTTATTTTAATTATGTGTACAATATTTTTTTAGTACCTCTTTTTTCAGTCAAATTCCAAACTGGAAAATTTAGAGATAAAAAATGTTTTTCTTTAAAGGTTCGGATTCTGTAAACAAAATGGTCTCTTAACTTGAACCAATATTGTGTTCAACTCAGTGAAACAACTCATTTTAAACATTCCTGGTAATTCTTAATTGTTATGGAATGAACATGGTGTGTCTTAAATTTGTCATTGACATACATTTGAGAAATACCATAAAAGGAGGTCTAGTGTGTGTTAATGTGATAACGAAAGTTTTCACAGAACTGCACAAAGTTCAACCTTATTTGCGTCTGGTTATTGATCATCAGCAAGTGAGCACTTCTATAAAAGCAGAGGTTTCGGCAGTTTTCTGGGCTGGAGCATTCTCATGTGTGTTAACAAAATGCCACAATCTTCCAATGAGGGGATGCCCCAGCAAATTCACTCCAAAGTCACACTGTGTAACTCTCAGATCACCTACAAGAACAACGAGCACCATATCTTAGCCTCTATAGGCCTGAATATGTTAAAGTTCATGATAGTAAATTTATAAAAAGTACAACTTGAGTAGAAGGGGTTCCAGGAGAAAGGCTCTTCCTCTAAAAACAAGATGTCAGCACAGTTTAAGTTTGCAGATCTGCATCTGGGCAAACCACAAGACTTCTGGAACAATGTCTTGATGAGAGACAGATCGGACCAAAGCGTAGATATCTGTGTATAATCCACAGCACCACATTTGATGCATTTTGATATGTGTAATACAAAAATCTGCAAGTTTACTGCAACCCCCCCTGGATGAAAGTTTTATGCGGGCTTTTCAAAATGACTGCATGTGCATCATAGCTTGAGAGACAGGAAAATCTGACGCTAAAAATAAAGTTAAGACCAGGAAGTTTAAAGACAACATCATAAAATATTGCCTAACAGAGGAAGCCAAAAATGCATATATATTATCACTAAATTTGTGTCATATATTTCCATAAAAATATTTAAATATGCATTTGAAAATTGGCTTAAACGCACAAATATAAACAGAATACAAATGCAAATATCTTAACCATACGCTATATTTCTAGATAAATTTCTAAATACAAAGGCAGATATAAAATCCACTCAGTCGCTATTTTGTTTTCAACAAATGTGCAGTTTTCTAGGTATTCAAAGGAGAACATCACCCAGCATTAGCCTTCTTGCATACAGCTGGATACCATCAAATTACAGCCAATTTTCCAGTTCTTTATAACTATATTATGACATATTATTATATATTAGGTTGTGTGTGTATAAGTTTAACTCTAGCTAGACATAACAGGGATTTGAAAATAGAACAGATCACGAGTCTTGCCAAAGTTGGCGTCTGACGATTCTTAAACTGCTGTAGATGAAGTAAAAGTAAGCTCTGCATAAACTAATGCACAGGAACACAAACTTTATAGATCAATCCAATTTAAAAAAATACTATTTTAATTACATCAGTGCTTCTAGCCTAACATCATAAGAAACAAATGATGTTCTGGAGAGACTCAAATAGGTTATTTTATTTCTACATTTAATTACTAGTTTTAAATTTTTGCTGACAAAAATGGGGAAAAGAAAAAATCAAATGCAAACTTCAGGGCTTTCATTGTGGTACATCTCCAGTTTCTCTCTATTTTCACCTGCCTGCCTCCAGTGAGCACTGAAGAAGGACAGTCAAGACAGTGGATAGCTTTCAACTCAAAGGCTGGAGCTCTGGCTCCTAGACGTCCCTCCAGTTTGGTGCTAAACTCCACCTTATTACCAGGGCTCAGATTTAGAAGCACCTGTCTGAACTCATGACTCGCCATTAGGACTATATCTCTGGCTGGGTCCTCTCTCTCTCCACGTTCATCCTGGATCATTCCCACTGTCACTTCAAAGCGGTAGCTGTCGAAACGCTTGACATGGCAGGTATGTTTAGCCAGAGCCTTGAGCTGACACAGTTCTTCCTCATCTTGCGATAGAAGGAGGATTGGCAGTGAAACAGGCACTGATGCAGAACTGGCTGTCAAATCTGCAGCTGTCAGATTTGCAACTGTGGCATTCTTTGGCTCACATTTGGGATAGGTCTCACCGTACAAGCAGCGCAGCCAATCTCCAACAAACACCGGCAACATGTTGATCACAGACTGTGCCCCATTCTCTGTTTCAGCCACACGGACTTGCTTGAAGCGCCCAGTCCAGGTGACTCTGTGTCCATTTAGGTGGCTACAGAAGATTTGTGTCTGGGCTATGCCTTTGGTTTCCCAAGCAGGAGGCCCACAAACCTGGCCATACTGACTCCAAGTAAGGGTGGAGTTGTACACCTTCTCACCTTCTGCATGGTACACATAGACAGAGAAGAATAGAAGGACCATGGAGATGCAGAGTAAAATGAGTTTGACTGGACCCCGATGAGTCAGTGAGCGAAAGACATCCAGAATGGACGTGCTGAACCGCGTCCACAGCCGCAAGGTGACAGGGATTGCACATATTACCAGGGTCACGATCATCTTTGTCAGTTCTAGCTCAAGGAACCACTTAAACACTTGGATGAAGAGCATGGTGGCGAGACCAAATGCCAGAACAGGCAACGCAAACAGGAAGAGAAAGTAAGCCACACAAGTGCGGATTAGACCCACAACAGTGGAATTCTGGAGGAGGACCACTGAGAACTCGCACCACATGAAGCACACAAGATACGGAACCAGGAAGCAGTAAGTTCCCCGGAAACCACGCATCCTCGCCATGCTAAGGAAGGAGAAAGAAAAAGGAGGGGGTAAAAAGTTCTAAGATTACTTTAAGTGTCTGAAGAGTAAATCTGTCATTTTAACATAGAATAAAACAACATGGCAGACAGGAGTAAGACCAGTTTGAGAATTTTACTAATATAAGTAATCAATATTTCAGTTTGTCCAAATCTTTCTTACCTGAAGAACAGATAGAACAGGTAAACATAAAGCAAGCAGGGGAGACTGAGCTTCAGCACCACAGACTCCCCCAGTGGCAGAGTGGTGAAGGTGCGTCCCAGTAAATGAAGCACCGTCATGTTCTGTGGCAAGAACTGCGTCAGGCAACAGAGAGATGATGCCATCTGGATTAAACCACATGCAAGGACACAACAGAGGTTTTGATTAACTTGGAGAAGGCTGTTTTATTTCACTGTCATAAAAACATTAAGATTAAAAATAGGAAAGAGATTTATGTCGACATTTGTTAAAACCTTGCACAACAGCATTGCATGTTTTCCATTCATAAAACTGAGGTTAAGTACACATAAAAACCCTTTAACCCATTCTATGGTTTAGTTTATATCCGTAGGTCTGGTTCTTTTAGTTGTTTTTCTGTTTTGTGTAATACTTGTAGTTTCTGGCCTTAGTTTTGCCATCTAGTCTTCAGGTTCTGTTTCCATGCCTCTCCTATGTTCCACAGACTGTTTTATCAGACTTGTCTTCATGTTTGTTTTACTCTAATCTCCGTGTTTAGTGTTTCCTTTCTGTCTCCTCAGTCAGTTTTGTTCCCATGTCTGTTTCTCCTCTGGTCCCAGTGTCAAACACTTGTGTCTTTGTCTGTGTGGTTATTGTACTTCCTGTTTTATTTTGACAGTCTCTCGTAGTGTGTACAGTTTGTTAAGTTTTGCTTCTCTTGTCCTGTTTGTCTGTATTAGTTCCCGTTGTGTCCCATCCTCTCATTATCATGTGTGTATTTAAGTCCTCTCCCTTCCTCTGCACATTGTCGTGTTGTCCCTGTTTGCCATGTGTGCCATGTTTCACTTGTTAATTCCTAGTTTTAATCTCCTAGTTGTTTGTTACCAATTTATAGTTCCTAGTTCCTAGTTTCTGAGTTTTTGGTTGTTAGTACCCTTGTGGTTAAATAGTCTCAGCAATAAAGCTGCCTCTTTCAGTTGATCCCTTTGTGTCTGAGTCCTGCTTTTGGGTCCTACCTCTGCCTGCCACACAGCGTACATAACAACGAGTGAATGAAAACATGTGGTCACTATCAGGCTAATAAGGCCAGCAATATTATGCAACTTATGCCTAAAAAAGGCATTAATAGAAAATTATGTCAAACGCTGGTTGTACAAGGCAAAATAAAACTTCAACTCCCAAACTCCAAAATTACAAAAATATTTTTTCTCTGTTACCAATGTCATGTTGCTGCTACACGTTTTTATGACAGAAGGCAAACAAGTGGTTTCCTAGAAATTCCAAATCATTTCATTAAGAATGAAATGATTAATTAAGCTGCAATATTATTAGTGTAAATTGTACTTAGCAACAGGCAAGACAGTAATTCTGATCATTCAATCACTCAGTCAATTGACCTCTATAACCATTGCCCGGCGTGCATATGCTGTGGCATTTGGGCTGAGGCTGTGGTAGCTGACAGCAGTAAAGAAGATGGCCACAGTCGAGAGCTCAGAGCAGGGGATCCAATTCTTGTCTGCTACAGGGAAGGAGAAAATTACAAAGAAGACGGAGAAGATAAAATAGAGGTACGGTTCAAGGTTGTTCCAGCCAAAGTTTGTCTCTGCTTGCTCCACATCAAGGCCAGGTTCAAACCGTGTCAGCAGAGATGTCAGGGCACTAAAGTTCTCCCAGGTCTAGAAAAAGGGGGAAAGTTTACAAGTGAAAAGAAGCAAAGCACTCCAAAGAAATTTAAATGCAGTGTATTTAGACTGAAATTCAATATCAAACAAATTAAAGAAAAAACAACAACAACAACAAAAAAATATATATTCTCACCTGTCCCATTTAGCATTAGCTGATTTTTTTGTACAAAAATTTAGTCCGCAAAGTTTACATTCATGCTATAAATATTTTCTGATTTATAGGCATTCAAAGTGGATTGAGGTTGGTTGAAGTTTTTTAATGTGCTGCAAATTTTAAATCTGAAATTGTGTCCCTTTTTTGTATCTCTGGGGTCAGAAATACTAAGTTTTGCAGAATAAAAAGCATTTAGCATAAAAAGCAACTTTTAGCAACACAGTAAATTTGAAACAATAATTATATTTTTGCATATTTTTACTGGTAATTTGGTAATTACCAGTACTGTTAATGTAGGGCAGATTTAGCATAAACCTTACATTAGGTTGTGGTGTAATAAATTGGTTGAGCACTATATAGTTTCATTGATTAAGGAGAAATGCAAAAATAAATGCACATTTACAGTAGAAGTTACTTTGTTTCATAAACTTTCATGTAAACTTTCAAGGTTCTGACAGTCCTGCTAACTGTGTGAAAATTACTAAATGAAACTGAAAGGAAATCACCTTTGTCCTCTGGAAAATACGCAGCGTGCAAATGATCATGGCGATGAAGGAGAGGTAGAAGACAAGCAGAGGGATAACAAAAGCAAACAGATCCACCGTCAAGTTGCTGATGATGAAGAAGAAAATGAGAGCATTGACGTGTTGCGTCGGAATGACTGTGCTCAGCCACTGGACACCGGCCCGTGATGCCCAATCAACAAGATGCTCCTTTATCTCAACAACTGCATGCAGTGGGTACTGCAGCATCTGAGGAGAAGAGAGATGGATATGAAGATGAACAGAGAATATCAACACATTTAAAAGAATATTAAAATGTGAAATAATAATGAGAGAACAGGTACTATTAATTGTGACTTCATGTCCATGGCCCTTCTAAAGGCTCCGGTCTCACTGGTGTGCAGCATCATCCCACTTCGGCCAAAACTCCAGGCACTCTTGTTTGACTTCTTGCATCCTGATGAGACTGACTCAGCCTTGTGCTTTAAAAACACAGTTGCAAACACAAACACATTCACAGCCATGCTGTATCAAATAGCTATGTTCAAGTAACAGTTTATTTCTGCTTATGTAAAGTGTAAACCTATTTTTTCTTTTTTTTTTCTTTTTACCCCTGTACGACTGTCATGAGGTGCAGGGCTTTCAGTTGTGGCTGAGACTTGGCTGCCGTTCTTGGGAGTAGCCGGGGCAATACCCTGTGCATAGTTCTTAGTCATCTCAACAAACTCATCCAGGTCCACCATCTGACTGGCTAAGAGATAAAGAGAGATATAATTACACCTGGAGATGCAATATACTTTCTGGTCCGCTCCTCCACCCTCTCTGGATACCTACAGTCATTGCTGACCATGCTCCCCAACACTTTCTGGGCTTGATTTGAAGTTGGGACAGGAACCTTGCTGCTTGCAGTGCCACCTGTTGGTGAGAAACGACCACACCACCATTGAGCTGGATGAAAGCTGGTAATATGAAACTATTCATTGTAACAGCTGCAAATATTAAAATCACACAGGGGCATCTCATATTTCCAGCAGTAGTGACAGCTATTGCATAACAGCATACTAAAGCCTTCTAGGTATAGCCACTAGTACATCATGCAGCATTATTTTCACCATTCAAAAATAGTTAATATTTTTAATGATGAATTTATCAAAATATTTGTGGCTGAGTTTGTCTCTCCTACCTGGAACTGCATTCACCTGGTTGACATTTTCCAGCATCTCAGATACAGTCACCTTCTTCTTCCTGTCTGGGTTTAGCTTCCAGTACATCATCATGGCTGCTTTGCGTACTGCCAGCTCAAACTTACTCTCTGTCGACAACCTGCGGACATCGGGCTCATTCTCTGGAGTGATTCCTAGTGGAAGTGAGCTTAAGTTATAGAACAGAAACATAAAGACTTTAACACATGTGATACTTGTGTTAAATGAACCTTTTTTCTGGATCCAGCAGCGCTGCAGGGCTTTTGCTGCACCCCTTCTTCCCTGTTTTGCTGCTTTAACAAGCCAGTTAACAGCCAACAGATTATTTGTTTCAGTATCCTTCTCTTTAGCAAGACCCAAGTAGTGCTGACCCAGCTGAAAGACAGAGGAGTGGTAAAAGGGCCAGATTATTTCAGCTTACTTAATGTACTGCATGCATGGATATGTATTTAAGCAAGCTTGTTATACTGTGGTGTTAAAGGCAAAACTACAAAAAATCGTGTATGTCCAAAACTGTATGTCTACTACAATCTTTTTCCTAGCTCCTAAGATAGAATAAAGACAAGCAGTGAACAATGCTTAAAAAAGTGTTATCATATTATGCCATAGTGAGATCATAGCTGATCTTCGTTTGTATTTTGGACAGAAACAGAATCGCATATTAATTTATTAATTTTATTCCATTAAAAATGTATGTGAAGTGTTTTGGTCATAATTGGTATATGCATTCTTAATGTTATGGCCAAAAATGTGTTACGTGAGGTCACACTGACCTCTGAATTTTAGCAACCAAATAATAATAATTTCATTTTTGAGATCAAGTGAACGTTTGTGCTTAAAGCTTAAGAAATTCACTGAGGGTATTCCTAAAATATTAGCATTATGAAAAAAATGGGAGAGACAGATGAAAAAAAGCAACACCTCCAGCTATGACATTCACTGTCATCAAAATTAATCTGCAGTGGCACAAAAATGTAATTAACACAGGAACTTGTATTTCCAGTAGCTCTCTTGTTATTTTGAACAATCCTCAAGGATTATTGGATTTACACTTGTTTGTAAGCTCCAATCAAAACAGTTCATAGTAAAGTTCATATAATGCACCAAGAACACATGACTTCAGAATTTATTATTTTCTGTTTCTGTAGCCGTCGGGGCATTCGTCATGTCTAACTAACAGGGGCAGCAGTGGCCCCTGTGGCATATCAAGTGACGGCTTTCTAATATTAACTGTCATTTCATAAACTTCCCACTCACTCAGTTATTATTAAATGTCCCTATTTGTGTGGACTCAGATGTGTCTTCGTTTTTAATGGTTCTGCAGTTGTGTATTCCTGTGTCTATCAGACAAACAAAGAAAATACCATCATAAAACTTATTTTAATTGCTAGAGTGACAAAATGTTTTTAAAATAAAATAAAGCTTTGAATTGGAGAATTGGAGAGTACTGTAAATATTATAATGTGTATCTTGCCTATTGGGATACCATAATGCACAAATGGAAAGCCTATCAATGCTTCTCAGCATCCAGCTGCTGTACGGATATGGTCTCAGGCTTGCATGTGTTCTCTTAGATATGCACACCCTCTCCTTATTTAGACAGTGGGTATGTGCAAATACATGACATCTGGCAAGAGAATGTTGAACCAAATGTTGACAAGACACTTGGGAATGTCACTTCTAGCCCACCCTTGAATTTGTTTGTGCTGGCAGACAACATAGACTAAACAGAGTGTGAATTTTGCATTGTTATTCATACAGCAGCAGTACATGCTACAGTATGCTTTAACTTTTACACTTCTTAATGATTTGTAAGTATGACAGTATATTAGTGTGTCACACTGAAATTGTGGGATCATCTTCCAAGTGGCCCAAAATAGGCACATGCTGAAAACCAGACTGAGTCAGCTTGCAGGACTAAAAACAACAATGCCAGAGCCTGTCTGTGCATGTCTGTGCATGTGCTTTCACTTACACGGGCCTGAGCTCTGGCATCACCGCCTATGGCCTTCACCTCAAGCTGCTCCACAGACATGTCTTCCTCTGGTTCTTCATCTGCAGGAGAGGACACAATATGCCTTAATAAAAAAAATCAGGTATATCAATTTTAATTAACTGCCAATAACTTTTTGACAAAACCTCAAAGCTTCCAGCAACACCGTGCCCAGTTTTTTACTTCACAGCACTTGTCAGCTGTAAAAGTTTCATAACTGTCCCCCGGTGTCCATTAAGAAAAGGGCTTGACACTCTTCAACTTTAGCCCTTACTGCATTTCAAATGTCACAGCTTATCACGCATAGCAGATCTCCAACTGGTGAAACCAGGATCTTGTTTTCAATTCCAACAGCTATGGAATATATTGAAATACCACAAAATGTCAATGAGGCAAGAGTGTCGGTTTTCTAAAATGCTTATGGAAAATGTACATTATTAACAGTTTTATTATTATACATAAAAATCTGATTATATAGTCTGATCTACTGGGACTTTCCCACACAGTCATCTCTAGGGTTTCCTATGAATGGTCTGAAAAAGAGTAAATATCCAGTGAGCAGCAGTTCTTTTGGCAAAAATGCTTTGTTGTTACCAGAGGTCTGAGAAGAATGGCCATACTGCTTTAAGCTGACAGTTAGGAGACAGGAGACAGTTAGGAGACTCAATATTTACTTTCACAAACAAGGTATGCAAGGGAGAGTATCTCTGAAAACACATTAAACCCCGAAGCAGATGGATTACCACAGCAGAAGACCACAATAGGTGCCACTTCTGTCAGCTAAGAACAGGAAACTGAGGCTATAATTCCCACATACTTACCAAAACCAGACAACACAAAAATTGGAAAAACATTGCCTGGTCTGAGGAGTCTTGACTTCTGCTACGACATTTGGATAGTGGGGTCAGATTTTGATATATGCAACATGAAAGTACAATGCATTTTTTTTTATTGTGCCTAGGTTTAGGGAGGATATTTTCTTGACACACTTTAGACTCCTTAGTACCAACTTAGCATAGTTTAAACACCACAGGCTACCTGAGTATTGTTGCTAACAATGTACTTCCCCTTATAACCAGTGTAGCCATCTTCTAATGGCTGCTTCCAGCAGGATAAAACACCATGTCAGGAAACTCAAACTGGTGGTATCTTGAACATGACAATGAGTTCAGTGTATCCAAATATCATGATGTACAATGAAAAAGGTGTATTATTTTATCAATGAGGGGACATGACTTTGTGCACAAAATTCCACGGCAACACAACTAATATTGTTTCATAGATTTGAACCCCATATTGGAGTTTTAGACTACCAAAGTCATAATGTCCCTGTGTAATGCCCTACAGATTTAAATGCAAGCCATAACAAGTTGCTGAGACATTTAAGTAAAAGCTTTTTGCATTATTTAGAATATTGTGTTTAATTTACTGGGGGAAAAAAGCATCCCAAAATGTTTTACAGCACGGGATTCAAATGAGTAAACAAAGGAAGCCAAAGTGGATCTGCATTCTGGATTCTGGACAAGAGTTGTGTTTTCCTTGGGACAGGGTTACATGAAAAGACATTCCAAAGCATGCAGAAGGCTTATCACCTTAACACAGCAACGGGTCTATGACATCCTCTCAGCAGCACTGAACCTTCAAAATCTGTCATTTAATCCCTCAGTCTGAATGAAACTATTCTTACCATCCTCTTCATCAATGGCATCCTCTTCCTCAGCTTTTCTAAGTCTTTCCTGTATGATTACCCGTTTGGCCATGGAAGCAAAAGTGCGTTTTGCGGAGGCCATGGAAGAAGATGTGGAAGCCGTGGTGGAAGTAGCTGTTGAGGAGGCAGATGTGAGGTTGGAAGTGGGTGAAATTGTGGAAGTTTGAGGGTCAGCAAGGGCGAGAGAAGCTGGTAGGGGTGTTCTGATTAGAGCACTAAGGGAGGGATTAGTAGAAACGGTTTTACATGTAGAGCTAGGAGACACAGCAGGCGATAAGGGCTTTGACTTGTCTAAGGAAAGGGGGGGATCCATCTGTTTAGCAGTAGTATGTGTAGATGTTGGCGAAGAACTGGGTAATTTTCTAGGTTTCAGAGAGGTTAGTGATTTTTCATGCTGAGTGGGAGAAGCAGAGAGGTTACTGGAGATGGGTGAAAGAGGAATTTGCATTTGGGAGGGACAAGAGGGTATATCCAGGACAGGGCTCGACCCCTGGACGTTGACACTAGTTGGTGTTGATGACAAATCCTTCTCCATCTCTCCTAAAATAAAAACAGGGTGAGAGAAAATGTATATTTTAGCTGGGTAGTGAACTTTCTGAACTCCCTGTTACAGAATTTGGAGGATTCACCTACAGACATTTTACCTCCATAATAACAGACCTTCTCATTGAAGTTTTGAACTTAACAAATTCTTACATAAAGCAGGCTAAAAGTGCAAAGCAAGAAAAAGGCTAATTAAAAAAAATATACAATAGCATAAAAATTTGAGAAAACGCGAGGTAAATGAGCGGTGCTTTGGGAAAGTACTCTAATTACTCTGCATTAAAGCATCAGAGCAGCAAGCAGGCACTGACACGAAGTAATAGGCAACAGGAGAACTCGGAACGTCAGTAACTAGAGCAAATCTTCAACATTAAAACTGCGCTATGATGACATACAGTAAAACAATAATCATTACCTGTTTACTAAATGAGCAGATTTCTTCAGGATTCAAGGCAATCACTCTCCTGGATTTGAATGTTGAGTGTGTATTCCATGTTGCAGATTAATCCTCACCAAACAGCCCCGAGTAACCAGAGACGCACACTTGCTCGCTGCTGTCAAACTCTGGGCTATAAACGACGCCACAACTTTGTGGCCCGCCCTCTTAAAACAGGCTCTCACACTGCAAGGACTGCAAATGACCGTCAAAGGAACAGCTTACCTGATTGGTTTTTAGCTTTTTAAACCTGTGACAGACCGCTGTTTTATGGCGATTCTTTAAATATTTCCCCAATGCACTTCCAATTTTAAAAAGAAAAAACAAACAAACTTGAGGTTGTCTTGCTTTAAAGTTCAAGCCTGGACGTGCAGTTATTTTAGCTATAGCTAGAGCAGTAGACACATGTAAGTAGATTACGGGGTCCCAGATCAAACGCTACGGGCCTACACTTAATCGATTGTGTCTTTTCCATATGGCAGAGGACAGCGATCCTGCACCCTGAGATGCTGTGAAAGTAAAATAGAAATCATTAAAATGACTAATAAATACAATATATATTAGCAATAATATAGATATGTAAGTATATTACAGAAATGGGTCTATTATGGTATGTTATAATGTACACGGTATGAAGTATGTTATGAATATTCTATAACTATAAGTATGTACAGGCTGTATTGAGTACAAGTAAATGTCGTATTGTTATTAATACCCGATGTTCTATTAGATGAGGACTTATGATCCTTTCATTATTTCATTAAGGAGAGACGGGATTTTACATCTGTGTAGTTGATCATTATGAGGCATGTAGTAGAGAAACACTTGTCCTTTTTAGTATCAGTATACTAAAGAGGACAAATACATAATAATAATAATAATAATAATAATAATAATAATAATAATAATAATAATAATAATAATAATAATAATGCGTGTGCACGTGTTATTGCTGTGTTTAATGTTTGTAGCGGTCCACCTGTCCAAGTGCTGAGGGACAACCGCCGCCCACCCTCATCCCGTTTCATAGAGAGTAGGCTACATATGGAGCGCCCTGGGAAGGGCAGGCCTCCATAATTGAAGATGAAGGAACTATAAAGGGTAGCTCTCGTTTAGCTCGCAGGGTCTTTGATGTAAAGCAGGTCTTTGTGTGACAACCGCAGTTAAGCCCCTAAGGCACATGGACCTTGTGGATGATCCCCCCAGATGTGGATGGAAAGATGATGCTGATTTAATCCGATGATAATGATGTGTCCTGCTCAGACACAACCCCCCACATTAAAACACGAGAAAGGGGTACACTGGAGAGAGACAAAGAGGTCCTCCACAAAGAGGCCAAAACACGGAATCTAAATTTATCGGGGTAAGTTGTAGATGTGCTTACTTATTCTTTCAGCACGAATGCTTCACTTTAAAACTAGTTCACACTGACACGCCACCAGTTCTGTCAAAACGGGAGCACTGCATCATGTGTATATGAAGAGGAAGGATTCTAGGTTGCCCGAAGAGAGCTGCTTTTCCAGTTCACATCATCGAATGAGTGCGCTTGCCTGGAGAGGCGGGACTGTGACCCGGTTAGACGTAAAACAAGCAAAGCCGTCTCCATCCTTTCAGACTTGGGGGGGAAGCGTGCGTCTCCCACTGTAGCCAATATGTCTGACTGCAGAAGACAGTGGAACCGGGAGGATGAGCTACCGGTCTACCTAGCAGGGCCGATCACCACCGGGCCGAACCAGAGGAAGACCTATGGTATGTTCAGCTCCGTGGAGGGGGCGTTTGAGAGCAAGACCATAGACTTCGAAAACTACGCGGTGGGGAGAAAAGGTAGCCGCACCCCGAGAAGCGGGAGCCGGGAACGACTCTTAGACACCGGTGACCCCATTAGCAAGACGCCCAGCGAGGCCCGGGAGTCGTCGCTGAACGGCTCGCCCGGAGAGAGAGACGAAGCACGCAGTGGTGCTGAGGTCAGATTTTCATCGGGGACGGAAAGTCCTAATGGCAAGGTAGGACTGACAGCTTCAATCTGTGGCTTTTTGTTGACAGATGTTGATAGTGCAATGGCTCCGTCGTTCCCTAACTATAATTTATTATTGAAGTGCACCACTAAGTGCCACTAGACTTTAACCGGTGGGGAACCTTTGGCCTACGCAGAGGATAAAAATAATTTTTTACTCATAAACCACCAAAAAAAGATATGCTGGTTTCGTTTTGGGACACCAGGAACCAGGAGTTATTTTCCTGACAAAGGCTTCAGTTTGCATAAATTATGAACTTTTTATGGCGCATTGCAGTTTGGCTATTATGGATTGCGTTAAGCTTAAATTCTCTATAAAAGGCGCAAAACGCGCGCAACAAGGCAGCAACACATATTTTTTGCTTGCCGTGGTGCTGAATCGGACAGCGACAGACAACATGCACCCCCACCCAACCTCCACGCTGCATTGTTTATGCTTTGAAGTAAGATGTGTGTGTGTGTAGTGGGTGTGAGGGTGCTCGTGTCTTCACATACGGCCTATAGCTGTCTTTTCCCCCCCGTGCCCTGAACGTCGTCAGGCAATACGGTGGCTGTGACTTTTTCCTCACGCGCGCGCCCACAGGAACGTCAGCTTTCTTCCACTGTGCGCGCGCCACGCAGCCTGACGCAGCCGTACGGCGGCGGATTCATCGCTCGCTTTCTGTCACACACGGAAACAAAACCCACATCACATCAGTGGAGACAAAGGGGAGCAGGAAGCCGCGCAGGGGCGCCGGAGTCGGTATAATTCGCTTCTGAGTTAACTGCCAGGGGGCAGAGCGACGGAAAGAGCATGTCTGGGTCCAAGAACAGCATCCCCCATCTGACGGTAAGCGAGCCGGCCTGCTCAGCAGCGACCAGCAGTCATGTATGCATGAATACGGATTAAATTCCTACTGAAAGTTACCTCACTTAAGGCTTCCTCATGCTGCCCCTACGAGAAACTGCACGCCAAAGAAAGGTGACAGTGCGTTGTGTTTGAGCGCGTTTTCTCGCTCCTGATTGGATAATGTTGTATAATCTCGCTGCCTGTCAGAGAGATTAACTCGGTTGACGTGTGCGATCGAAACTGGAGTCGAGCAAGTGACAACTGCTTGCTTAAAAGCAACGAAATGTGAAGCTAGATTTTAACAAACGACGTGCATCCTTTTCAGTCTGTGTTCAAGCGTGGATTTTACACATTTCACACAGTCTGTTATTTGAGAATTATCCAGTGTCTAATGGATCTTAAGCCTAGAGTTACACATTGAATTTGAAGGTTAAGACACAAATAATGTCTACATATTCTTCCCCCCTTTTGCCTCCTCATTGGTCAAAGACGTTGATTTTTCGGCAAGCCGTCAGCGGTCGCCATGCTAAACCCTGCTTGATCACTGGTTACCATGGAGACGTAACATCTTCCTAATGCTGTTGCCAGGCACCATCCGTAGTAGTAGAGGGTGTGGACACGGTGGTCTCACAAAAAACGTGCTGGTTTCAACACCCTGCTTGTGAATGTTCAGTATTTGATTGCACACATAATTGAAATAACAGAAAGATACTTTTTTTTGGCGCCCCATTCAGGTACAGCTCTTGTGTGGCCATGCATTTCTGTGCACACTACACCACATCATGTTATATTGCTATAAAGCCATGGATTACATAACTGACTGTGCAATATATCAAAATGTCAGGACTAAGTTCAACCTCTCTCCCCTTTCTGTGCTTTTCCCCTGCAGAGTGAAAGGCTGCTGATCAAAGGAGGGCGAGTTGTTAATGATGACCAGTCTTTCTATGCAGATGTCTACATTGAAGACGGGCTCATCAAGTGCGTATTTGGGGACATTGCATGAGCGTGTTGTTTTAAGCACTGCAGAGGCTGTTTTCTACATTTCTTTGCTCTTCCTTTCTTTTTGTGTTCTTTTCCATCTTCTCAACCCTTTTGCATTCCCATGTGTATTTTGCCATGACAAATCTTTTCCACAATCTTCACACCTCCATAATTTGGCTTCCTTTTCCCTTTCATCTATTCATCTGTTTTTGCACATCTTATCCTGGGTAGGCAGGTGGGGGAGAACCTGGTTGTTCCTGGGGGAGTCAAGGTGATCGAGGCCAATGGCCGCATGGTGATACCAGGTGGAATAGATGTTAACACCTGCCTGATGAAGTCTTATCTGGGCACACAGCCTGTTGATGACTTCTTTCAGGGCACCAAGGCTGCACTTGCTGGGGGCACCACCATGATCAGTGAGTGTGAATGCTTAGACTTAGTCAGCAAGTGTCAGCTACAGTATAGCACATACCATATCTACATTTGTCTTTAAGTGTTTCAAAATACTGATTATGCTCTTTCTTTTTTCTATGCCTTGTGCCCTTCCTAATTTTCAGTTGACCACGTAGCCCCTCAGCCTGGTGACAGTTTGCTGGAGGCGTTTGAGCGCTGGCAGGAGGCCGCAGACAAGAAAGCCTGCTGTGATTACTCTCTGCACGTAGACATCCCCCAGTGGAATGAAAATGTTAAAGATGAGTTGGAGCTTCTGGTGCAGGACAAAGGTACGTCCATTTTTAATTATTGTATGATATTTTAGAGATGTGGCCTTTCTTGCAGTTCTTGTTTCAATCCCTAGTTTGGGCACATTTCACAAGAACAATAGGGACAGATTTAGAAACAATTTGGCTAAAGTGCTGAATCCTCTTAGAGTCAAGACACTGTAGAGAGCCATTGTTCTCGCTGCTGTCATTGTGGCCATGTGCAAATTTCACTTGTAATCTGTTTGAGTAGAAAAATGAGCATTTTCTTCTGGGGCAGCTTTAAAAGTCACCATACGAGATAAACCAGCTGCTTGTGTGTCCAGCTTCCTTCTAGGAGTCATATTATTTGGCTAGACACAAACATGCACTGCTTTCCATTCCTATTCACTTACAGTTTGTCTTTATTATCCACGCTCCTGAGTATTTACTTTCTCATTATGGAGCCGTTCATTGTTTCTTCTGTTGCCAGGTATCAACTCCTTTCAAGTATACATGGCTTATAAGGATGTGTACCAGATGACCGATTCAGAGGTATGTTTTATACTCATAAATACCACAAATCATTAATACTGTATGAATCCTCTGGCTTATGTTTTTAACAGTAGAAATCGGAAAATTGGTGTTCTTGTCTTTTAGCTGTATGAGGCATTCTCATTTCTGAAGCAGCTGGGTGCTGTGGTGTTAGTTCACGCTGAAAATGGTGATCTTATTGCTCAGGTAAGTGCTACTGCCTGCTGAAAAAGGATATCTTATTATGTAGGTAAGTGCTGCTGCCTTTTTTTTGCTCTCTCCAGCATGCACCACAGTTTAGAGATATTCTTGTTACATAATGCTGCATCTCGCAGAAAGAGAAAGCAAGGATTAATACGCCTGCAGCTGCAGCTGCAGTTGAGAATGACAGGTTTATCTTAGGCCACCATTAAAGTTGACCATTATTATTCTAATGAGGATGATGATGATGATGATGTAATGGTGATTAAGTTGGTGAGGGTGAAGGTGCTGATATAGCTAGCAGAAGTGATGGCAAGTATTAGTTGTGGTCATGGAAATGATGGCCTAGATTAATGAGACAATTATGGCAAAAACGTTGATGTATGTGAAGATAAATCAGGGTAATGGAAGATAATTGCAGTGCTGATGAATGATCATGACACGCTTGTTAAACTAACTGTAAGAGAAATAGGGAGATAGGTGATGAAAATTCATATCAACCCCATAGAGAACAAACAAACACTAAAAAGGGAGCAGGGTGGGGATCTGGTTGTTATCCAGGTTTTCAGAGAAACTGAAATGTGCTTAATCTTCCAGCTGTGCGCTGGCTTTCGAAGATTACACTGCATATTTATTTTAGCTTGACAGGCCAAAAGATTTGTTATTTGTAATTCCTGAAATCTCATCAGAGGCATTCAAACATGGCTGTACAGTTACTGTATGTACAGCTGTCAGTGATTGCATTGCATGTGAGGATAATTCTGACATTCTTTTGTTATTCTTATAATTTTTTTTTTGCAGGAACAGAAAAAAATACTTGGAATGGGAATTACTGGCCCCGAAGGCCATCCTCTGAGTCGTCCCGAAGAGGTGATTTTTTTCCCCAATAGCTTCACTGTTAATCAATTCACCTGCCACTGTATAGGTTCTTGGCTCTAGTTTATTCCCTTCCTGTGCAGTTGGAGGCTGAGGCGGTGTTCCGTGCCATCACTCTTGGCAATCGTGTGAACTGTCCTGTTTACATCACAAAGGTGATGAGCAAGAGTGCAGCTGACACTATCACCCAGGCCCGGAGGAAAGGTAGTTCTTAATCATATAATGTCCTTTTCTGTCTTTATTAAGGATGAAATTAACCGTTCTACTATTCTGCTCAGGTTCGGTGGTTTTCGGAGAGCCAATTACAGCTAGCCTGGCCACTGATGGTTCGCATTACTGGAGCAAAAACTGGGCCAAGGCTGCTGCCTACGTGACCTCTCCACCTTTAAGTCCTGACCAGACAACCCCGGACCATCTTCACACCCTGCTGGCCTGGTACGTCTCACTTTTTTTAAAACAGTGAATTGATATTGCTAAAAACTGTAGTAGTTTAATTTATAGAAGACTCCAGAGTTTTACAACAAGTAGTTTGTATGAAGTCTGAGAAAATGTGCAGTGTCAAGAGTGTTTCATAAACCCTAAAACAGGCAAAAACTTTTAGTATTTATGTAAAGGCAGACAAAAGCTTAATTTAGCTACAGTATGACCTCTGCTCAATGTGAAATGCAAATAGGATCGAAGACACAAAAGGAGACTCTTACGTTTTACCCCTACACACTCTTTGGTATTCATGCCACAAACAGCTGTTAGTGTTATGCAGAATTTTAGATCAAACTTCAGTGAAACAGGAAAACAGATGGAGAGAAGGTGAAGGTGTGAGGAGAGGCAGAAGAGAAGAGAGACTTAATTACAGACTAAGGACTACATAATCATTTGGAAGCCACTTTACTGTATATTCAGTCAGGCACACAATAATGGTTGGTTAACTTGTACCTATGCATAAGTGCAAGTCAAGGCCAAACTCACCTCAGGTATTACCTCAGACACAGTACTCGCACCCGTCACACATATCACACACACACAATGCGGAGAACTTGCACATTTTAAAATGCCCCCGATTCCACAAATAGCACTGAAACCTCTATTATCTGTTGCCTTGGCTACCGAGTGCCTCCCTCCACCTTCTCCTCCTCCTCTATCTTCCTCTGTTTCTCCACCCTTCGTCTGAAGCTCCTACTTCTCAAGGCGGGTCCATGCTGTCAAGCCGGTGGTGTGATACTGCTGTTTTCTTTGAGCCACTCCTGAAACAACGGGGTGTATTCTTAGGTTCGTTTTCGGAGACATGAACACAAGAACAGCTTCCCCCCCCCCCCCCCCCCAGATTTCAGTGAAGCCCATTATTTACATAATAAGCACTTTCTTGGCATTAAGGTGACGATCCCACAGCTCACTAACACGGAGTAATCACTGTAATTAACAAATAAATTAAAGGTCTTATAACTGAACCGTGACAATCACAAGTCTTTATCAGCCAGATTCAGCCTTATTTATTCAGAGCTAAAGCGAGCATAGGTCTTTTTGGCTTTCTTTAATGATGCAGACCAGACTGAGCATTAATCTAGTTAATGTTTAAAGGACTGATACTACAGCTGTGTTGCACCATTCTCTGTAGTTCAGTTGGCTGTTTTTCTGCAATAGGCCACTGCATGACTTGACATACTTTACCTTACGTGCTCAGTGAGGACACCTGGTGGCTAATGGTTAAAAAATAACTTCTCTGTATGTGTCTACTTCATTCTGTCTTTTTTTTAACATAAATTTTTTATTTTATTGATTTGTTGCTATTTCTACAGACTGAGTTTTCTGAGGGGTTTAAAACTTTTAGCAATTTGTCAGGGAACCTTTTAACATTAGACAGGTCAATGACTGCATCCTTAAGTGTTTGCTGATGATTTCACTTCATTTTGTTGCCTTGATACAGTGGGGACCTTCAGGTCGTGGGCAGTTCTCACTGCGCTTACAGCACCTCCCAGAAAGCTATTGGTAAAGATGACTTCACCTTGATCCCCGAAGGAATCAACGGCGTTGAGGAGAGAATGGGCTTTGTCTGGGAAAAGGCAGTGGTGAGCAATGAGGGCATGTTTTTGTTGTTTCTTTTGTGTAGGTGTGAGGTTTTTGTGTAGCACTCTAAACATCCACTTCTTTTTCCCTTAGGCCATGGGGAAGATGGATGAAAACCAGTTTGTGGCAGTCACATCCACCAACGCTGCTAAAATCTTCAATCTGTACCCACGTAAGGGTCGGATAGCTGTGGGCTCTGATGCAGACATTGTCATCTGGGACCCTGACAGCGTCAAAACCATCACTGCCAAACTCCAGCAGTCGGTGAGGACAAAAAGAAAAGAAAGATGATGAGGGAAAAGAGAGGGTGGGTAAATCGGAGAGAGGGAGAAGAACTAATAATATAAGGGGGGGAAGGCTAGACAGAGGCTGAACAACAGAAGGTTTCATGGGAGACTGCAGAGTGTAAAATAGGATAAGAACCACATGGAAGATCACAGGAGGGGAACAGAAACCTGAATAATAATATGCAGTCAAGTCTAGCTTTATTTTACTCAGTATATATCATATATGTGTGCTAGAACCAAAATAGTAAGCCTCAATGTTTGAAAATATTTTTCCTAAATTAATTAAAATAATATTTCGTAAAAGCAGATTTACACATGAATAGCTGTTCATTCTTATTGTGTTCGGGTCTGAGCAAATGTGCGGTCAAATGTGCATTTTGTACATTTCTCTCTCAAAATCAGAGATGGCAAGTGAAATTTCATATTGTGAAACCGACACCGAGTCTACTGAAAATGACACGGAACAATAACCATGCTCCCGAGTTCACGCTATGGACCGTGGATTATCAGGACATTGTTGTTTTAATCCTTTAAGCATCACAGATGAAGCCTTTTCACCTTTTTCAACAGCAGGAGCTATCACACAGACAGCTGTGTCTGTGTGAAGGATAAGACTAAATCTATCTGCAAAACAAAATGAGCTATAGGCAAATGGTAAAACAAAATTGCCTTCAAAAATGTAACACAATACAATGTAGTTAATTTATTGGTCTGTTCTGCCACTCCCAAAGACCCTAATCCAGACTGAAGCCAGATTTAAGTTATAATCCCCCTTCACCCCTCACCCATTTTGTTATATCTCCGCCCATCCCCCTGAATTTATACAGTCGCCCCCCGTATCCCCTTGCCCCCCACTTATTTATCCCCCATCTTCTCATATGCTGCATTTTGCTGCATCTATTAAACCCTATGATAAAATGCAAGCTTGCCCTGACTGCATAGAGAGGCTAAACACTGTACAGTATTTGGAAAAATCAAATAATCCTCTGTTTTCTGTACTTGTCTCATATTTTCTCTCTGCACAGGCTGCAGAATACAACATCTTCGAGGGTCTGGAATGTCGCGGAGGTCCAGTGCTGGTGCTGAGTCAAGGCCAGGTGGTGTATGAAGAAGGAAAGCTGCATGCTCAGCAGGGCACTGGTCGATTTATTCCACGCAAACCCTTCCCAGATTATGCTTACCAGCGGGTAAAGTTCAGGAATGAGGTACAGTATTTAGAAGATTTTAAAAATACTTAAAAAATATAAATCTCACATTGAAAAATTTCATTGAAAGATTAATTGGGTAGATGTTTGAGGATTTCTTTTCCTTATCTTGCTGCAAGTCCTCATAAAAAGGTAAAAATCTAAATATGCCCCCAAAATGAGGCAAATAAAGATTTGAAGAAGACTCTGTAAATTAAATAATTGTACAACCTAACCTTGGTTCGAGGAATTTGGGCTGTTTATTTTTACCTTTTGTACAGATTATTATGTTATGATAATGAAAAAGAAAAAACAAAACAAAACAAAACAGGAGCTGAATTGATTAGAAACATGATCATTATTCTCTCTTTTTTCACCAGTAGGTGATTCAGGCAAAATACAAATGAGCCAATTAGTCCCGTATTATGGAGACTAATGTGCTGCAGGCCATTCGCTTCTAAAGAATGAATAATAGGTTGGCTTGTTTGTGTCTCTGTCTGTTTTCTGCCCAGGTAAAGCTTAAGCAGGGTGTAACTCGGGGGATATATGATGGCCCTGTATATGATGTTGCTCCGACTCCCAAATACATTACTCCTTCTCCGTCAGCCAAAACCTCTCCCACCTCTCACCAGCCACCACCAATACGTAATCTTCACCAGTCCAACTTCAGCCTTTCAGGTAAGAAAAATAGTATATTTTCAAACAGAATGTACTCTAAATACACAGTTATGCAAAATTGATTTCTTTTACAATTAGAGCCATCTAATATATTAATTTTGTCCTCATTTTAGGTGCACAGATTGATGACAATATCCCACGTCGCTCTGGCCACCGCATTGTAGCACCCCCGGGTGGTCGCTCCAACATCACCAGCCTTGGCTGAATACTTGAATACATATGAAGCACGGCTGGTGCGACGCTTCACCTACTGAGTGTGTGCGAGTGTATGTGTACGACTGAGTGTAAGCGCAACAATATGAATGAATACCTTTGCATTGTTTTGGCATAACGTGACCGTTTCTGTTATATCGGTTTGTCATGGTCACTCAGAACAAAAAAAGCACATTTCTACTTCTAATCCAAAAAAGGTGTGTGAGTTACAATCAGATAAATAATTCAAAACAATAAAAAGTCACGTTCCAGGCGCGCGCACACACACACACACACACATACACACACAGATTCGGTGTTGGACCCCCTCCAACCAACCCGTCGCCCCAGTGTTATGTCATAAACTTATTTCCTGTGAGCATGACTTCCTTCTTATTCTTCCTCACCTCCCACATCTTACCGTGTGGGTCTGACATGGTGCTCCTTTCCACCCACATGGTGGACAGCTCAAGAATTGTCAGATTTCTTTCTGCATCTGGTTCTAATATCTTGGCAATATTTGTTTCATTGTGGCTCAAGCGGATCAGTTACACTGCATGGACGCGTCTTTAGATGTTACACTACTTGTGGTTTATTGTTGCAATGGAGGAACACTTAAAAATGAACTCAAAGCACATTTGTATTCAACAGCACAAGCATATTCTTATATTGGTATATGTATGCTTTGAAAACCCTAACGACATCCACTGTGGGTAGAGGCAGTTGTTACCTAGTTAAAAACATATTCATGCAATTTAAATTACTGTAAATTTTGAAAGGAATGCATTTTTTTTCTCCACCACCAGATACTATATGCAAATGTGTCAGTACTCTCTTACACTCTGTGTGAAAGTAGATAAGCAGTCAAAGTGAAAACAGAAACAAGTGAACTAAATTAAGTTCTAGATTGATGTACCTACATAATGTAGACTTCTCAGTGTGCGTGCTTAGTTTGCTGCCAATCACTCCCACCAGAATAAGAACTTTGTTGTAATGACATGCTGAACTCACTGCAGAAAAAGAACTTCAGCTGTCACCACAGCTTTTTAAAACTTTTCTGAAAATGTTTTTTTTTTTTAATCTTTTATTGTTTCAGTTATTTATTTCTGGGCATTTTCCTCATTATCGTACATTTAGTGTTTCTGTGTTTTTGTTACTCTTGTCTGGTGTCACCAATGGAACCACTTAATAAAGACTGGACTGTTGTCAAAAATGATGGTAAAACAAACACCTGTGAGTTATTAGTAATATCATTTGTTATTCTGATCGTAATCAAAATTCTGATGATTGAATATAATTTTTCACGATCTGTCTCTGTCTTTTCTAAATTTAGAATTACTGAATGCATTTTCTCAGGTTAAATCAAAGGCCTTATTTATTGTAATACAGTTTGAAAGGAAACTTTAGAACAGACAGTTTTTATAGGTTGTAATCATATGGTTACAAACTAAAGCACAATTATAATTCTTTCACTTTATTGTATTTTGTTTAAGATTGGAGATAAATTTCCTTTTATAGAGGCTCAGTTAAATACTGTATGTTATGCATATAAAAATAATCTAATAATCTTCAGAGTCACTGTTATCCCATATGGAAAAGAAATAGTAAAAACTTATATGACTTAACTCATGAAAGTGGCCACTTTCATGAGTAAATCATATAAGGCTTACATGGTTTACTCATGAAAGTGGCCACTTTCTCATTACTTTCATATATTGTTTTAGTAAGTATCCAAAAAATACAAGTTTCATTATATAATTTTTCAAGGGATCTTATATCTGTTTTTACTCTTGTATGCTTTTCATACAAGTTTCACACAAGACAGATACAAACTTTATAAGATATCTTTTCCATATGGGATACCGGAAAGTCGCTGCCAACATAAACTGCTGGTAGTTAATCAGAAAGATTTAGGTAACGTTGCTGTTAAAAGCATTAGATACAATCCTCCCCAAAAAGGTTTACACATGCAAAAGGTGGAAAAACTGATTTATAAATATAATTATATAATTTATTATTACAATTTATAAATCACAGTAGAAAAAGTTGCTAAACTGAAAAGAAATGAGTACAGGAATGAGAACACTACATTTTTTATAGATCAAGACTGAATGAAAACCAATCTGATGCAGGACTAACATGGAGAGACAAACAACCATTCACATTCACATGGAAATTTAGATCCACCGATTAACCCAACCCCACTAACTGCATGTGTTTGGACTGTGCAAAGAAGTACCAGAACCCACGCAGACACGGGGAGAACATGCAAACTCCACACAGAAAGACCCCGGCCAGTTGGCAGAGTCAAACTCAGGGCCTTCTTGCTGTGAACCAACAGTGCTAACCTTTTTAGCATATTGTGAAATTTGGCACATTACAAAAACTTTTGGTATAACAGGATGTAGTAGAAAGAATCTAGAAAAAAGTCTGATTTAGGATTCTGTTTTCAAAATTTAGAGAAGCTGTATTTTAACATTGGATTTCTTCTGTATCTGTGTGCAATATGGAAAAGGTCAGCAGAGGGCGTTCTGGATGTTTTTTTTGTCAGTACACATGGCTCTTGCTGCTTTACAGCCTATCCAGCTTACAGTCAACAGTGACAGCAGGCACACAGTGGGGTTCCATGTCTGACGAAAAAGGCTTTCATGTCTATGATGGCAGAATGTTGGGTTGTGCTGGAAAGCTGTGCTACTTCAGAGTAGTCTGAGTAAAAGTGTATTACTAAAAGATGTCCTTTCACTTTATGATGGAGTAGATCAGTACCAATGAGGTATTTTAGCAGTATTTTTATGCACATCTAAGGCATCATTTCCCAGAGTTAATTTAAGTGTATCCTTAACTGTCATCCCACTAACTGGGCTCTATGAAGCCCCAGGAGTTATATTTTTGTTATATCTCTTTTTTCAATCTTTCAGGTATTTTATGATTTTGTCAGTTAATGTGTTTCTAATGATGCCACATCATTGCTTTCTATTTCTGCTTTGATTAGTGTTTTTTTTAATACAGCTGTTTTAAAAAGAACACAATTCTGCCGTTGCAGTTTTAGCAAACTCATTTATTCAGTTATTGTTTGTCCTAAATTAAAGTATCACATAATATCAAGGGAGGCAGGGGTACCTGTCATATGTCAACTTAGATGCTATTACTGCATTCATCATCTTGATGGGGAACTTCCCAGACTGGAAGTCATCAGAATGTTGGAGACATTGCCAGATCTACTTGAGACAGATAGATGCCCTGGTTATGCCACACACGAAAAGGACAGCTGATGCTGCTATATTGCAAGCCACAATCCCTCCTGGGAGTGAAGAAAATTCCATCTGCCAATGTGACTGTCCAATATTTGGCTGGACAATCTACTTGACAAAGGTGTCACCTTTATCTGACGGAAGAGTGGAGTGCCCAGAACGAGGTGCTGTCCCGAGTGGAGGAGTTTAAGTACCTCGGTGTTTGTTCACGGGTGAAAGCAGAGTGAAGCAGGAGATTGACAGACAGACTGGTGCAGTCTTGGCAGTGATGTGGATGCTACACCAGTCTGCTGTGGTGAAAAGAGAGCTGAGAAAATCAGTCAATTTGACGGCTAATGTGACCATACCGTCCCATATGGTCAGGAGCTCCGTGTAGTAACTGAAAGAATAAGATCACAGATGCAAGCATCTGTGATGAGTTTCCTATGAAGGGGGTCTGTGTGCAGCCTTAAAGATATTCATTTGGATGCCGCTACTCCTTCACATAGAAAGGCACCAATTGAGGTAGTTTGGGTGACTGACTGGGATGCCTCGTCTGTGCCTTCAAGGTGAGGTGTTTTGGACATGTAAAGAAGGCCCCAGGGCAGACAGAGGACATGGTGGAGAGGTTATGTCTCTGGGCTGGCTGTTTTTTGTGTTATTTCAAGTATTTTATATCAGTTTCATCACAAAAATACAACACAGATAATGTTTACTTTGAATTTTACATTAAGTTATATCAAAATCCAAATATTGTTAAATAAGCTGTTATATAGCAATGTGTATTGTATTTGGAATAAAGTTACGAGTTGAATCAAAGAAAGCTATTGATTTTAAGTTTTACAAAATATGTAAATTAATAGTACGTTTGAAAAAGTAATAATAATGAAAATCATTTTTTTCTTAAGATTATATTAATTATGTAACTAACAATGCATTAAGTAGAAATAAGGTTTGTTTCTGCCACCGAGGAGGTTACATTTTTTGGTAGCGTCTGTAAACATAATATCTCAAGCATGGGGTCAACAAGCCATTAAAATTTACCTCACATACACCGAGGTCAGCTTATAAAAAAACCTTATAACATAGAAACTATAATTTTTTTACAAGTGTGGTCTAACATATAGTATAAAGGTGATTGAGACTGAGGGGCTGAGAACCTTCACAGAGATATGGCATAGAGATTCAACATATCATGTAAAATCTGGCCTCTAACCTCTCCTTCAAACTCAATTGATCTGAAGGACAAAGTGATAATAATGCTAAATATCTACTAAAAACTATGTTACTTAAGATATAGAGACTGATCTACAACGCTAAATATCTTGTTTCTTTGGACCTCTGATCTTTTCTTATAAGGTTAAACTTTCACAAAGTGTATTTTATCTTTAAAGCTGTGCTTAAAAGTCTACTGCCTTTGTATTGGCAACATTTAGGAAACAATACTGGTATATGGGAATTATGAATATCATGTTATAGTTTGTATCCAAATATCGTGTCACATTTGACCTCTCATCATATTTCTCCATTTTACAGTTACAAATCAATACCTGCAATTGATTAGCTACTCCTGTATAATGGTTGTATAATCAAAGTAAACATCCTTCATATATAGTCATTGATTAATTGTTGTTTAATAAAGATGATTTATTATTAATACCTTTAAGTAAAATGTGCATATGATGAATAAACAGTATAACATAGGTGCAAAACGACCATAGATGGCCTCCTAAAATTGCAGGTACCTACTAACACAACACAGCCGGCTAAACTGCAGTTCACTTTTTTCATGTTTGCAATACAAGGACATGTTTGCTATATTCACTCTTGTCTGTAGGATATAGACTACAATTTAAATAATCCTGTTTCTAACAAGATGGAGCACTGTTTAAAATAAAAAACAGAACTCTGACTCTGAATAACTTTACATTTAATTAAAAGTAGAACAAAGGTAACATATCAAATATGCAAACTATCAGTGTTTGTTTTTTGTAAAACAAATATCTCGTACTGTTTAAAAGTCTCAAGCTGCCGCTCATTTCTTTATGTTTTGCTGGGTAAATGGGAAATAGGTGCAAGGATGAACTGAAATAAATACATGGACATATAGTACATATATGGCAAAAACATAGCTTGTAAATTTTTAATGAGCCTGAAAGTCAATATTTGGTATGACTGCCTTTATTCTTCAACAAAGAATAAACTCTGTTAGGCAAGCTGCCTTGTAATTTTTTTATATAGTCTTCAGGAATAGTTCTCCAGGCTACCTGAAGAAGATCCAAGGCTCTCCTTTGGATGTTGGCTGCCTTTTGTTCTGTTCTCTGTCAAGATGAACCCACATAGCTTCAATAATGCTGAGGTCCGGGCTATGGGGAAACCAATCCATGACTGATAGTGTTCTGCTGGCATACCTCACTCTTTTCTTCCTTCTTCCCTTCCTTAAGAACGGCTTCTTGACAGCCATCACTTCCAGTGAACAATTTCGGATGAGCTTTTGGTGAATAGAATACGGGTCAGATGCATGTCTCAGGTCCTGTGTCAGGTCTTTCAGGAACTGTCCCCCTGTTTCTTAAGAACATAACCTTCAGATATGTTAGATGTTATTTAGGTCTGCACACTTCCTCTTTTACCTTCAACTTGAATATTTTCCTAAAACTTTTTAAGCACACACTGCATTTCAAATGAAAGAAGGGATGGCTAAAGAGCATATAAATGCTATATTTAAAATTTCACCCCAGCATCACATTTCAAAAAGTTGTGACAGGCGGCATTTTTATCATTGTATTGCATCCCCTGTTACCTCTTCTTTTAAAAGTGCCCACTTAGTATTGGGGAACATAGAGCAATTAGCTTTGAAAGGGCGATCTTTTCAAATGCCTGTTTAGGATTTCAGCTGCTCAACAGATTGGGGGCCTCATTTGTTGTTTTTCATTTCATAATGTGCCAAATGTTTTCAAAGGGTGACATGTCTGGACTTCAGGCAGGGTGGATTTTCATC